CTTTTATCAATCTCTGCTCAAGAATCCTGAATATGCCCAAGGGCCACATGAAATACAAGGCATTAGTAGTGCTCCCCTGGGTGTGGCTTTCCTTGACCTATGCAATAGCTTGTGCATCAACTATCTATCATGAACCTGTCTTTGTTTCTTGCCTATCTTCCAATCTCTGCCCTTCCCCTAAGTCACATAAGCTGTGGCTTATCAAAAATACCACCTCAGTGCATTCCAGATGTGTCTTCCCACCCATTCTCCAGCAGATTTGGCAGTGGTATAGAAATGTTATGAATTTGCCTGGCAAGGCTTAGATGGATAAAAAAAGAAAAGCAAAGCAAAACACAAGCTGAAGAGTTAGTTTGCTCTCCAAACATCTCTAGTGCTAAGATAGAAGTGATAAATCATAAATATAAGCCAACAAGATTTTCTCTTATCTGACACATTGAATTAAGGCTGTTGTGCTCAAACACTTATAGCAAAATTGACAAACACTTCCTTGTAGGAATGCTGCATCAAAGGTATTAACTTTATAGTCAAACACCATTTAAAGCCGAGGCCAGGCATGTGCATTAGCACACACTGCCACACACCCTCACGCAAGGCCCCTCACCCAAGGCGTGCACAGCGTGTGAACTGTGAACACTATTTGCAAATCAAGAGAGAAATGCTGCTCCTTTTGACTATGCTTGTCCTGCCTCCAGCAGTGATGCCAGCATCTGGGCTTCACTTAGTCAAGCCAAGTGGCCCCATCTTGTTGCAGCCTCACCGTGGGCCTTAGCTCATTATTGGCTTGTCAGCGCTTATACCTCATCAAGACCAATCTGGAGCCTGACAGCTACCCCCACATTTTCATATCTCACCATGACAGACTCCTTTTTATGTTTAGATTAGAGCTATTCCCTTTTGCTAGGAAAATTGATCTAAATCCACAGACCTCCAATTGGGAGTCACAATATTTTTCCACATAGAACCCAGTCTTGTTCTTTCACAAGGATTCGTTTTTCCTCAGCACCTGAAGTTGTTCTTGTAGGCAGCAGTCCAGGAATAGCAGGGCTCCTTTGCAGACCAGAGCAGGTAAAGATTTTTGTAGTGGGATGACAGAAGCAAGTGGTGGAGGGTATAGGAGGAGCAGAGGGAGTCATAAAACCACAAAGTCTCCTGAAGCATGGGCAGCCTGACCCAAGCCAGCTGGATCCCACTACAGCACCCTTAGGGGAATGGCTCCTATGTGAGCCAGCCCCTTCATTGCTCAAGGTATTGGGGAATGGTCAATGAATTTGTTAATTCCAAGTCAAAATCATTGCATAAATCATGAAGTCAGTATCCAAATGGCAATCCAGACTTGAGATAATGTCATTATATACATGTAGCCACTGGTTTCCATGGGAATTTTGCCATATCTTTCACCAGGACTAGGATTTAATCTCTGAGAATTTTCTTTTTTTCCACTTGATTAGCTGGCACCTGTCCTCTATTGAAAGACAGTCACAGCACACCTGAAGAATTGTAGTAATAAACTGGTCAAGGAGGCCTTGCAGGATGGACCTGAGGAGGCTGCAGTCATTTGACTGGATCAATAGTGGGATTTCATCAGAGAGAGGGGACTCAAATGTCACTTTGAAAATTTCACTTCAATGTGTTCATTTTCTTTTTCAGCTGTGTTGGGAATGGTCTGTAGATTTTAGCTTTGACTTGGAGCAGGAGAAATGAGGAACCATTAATTCTGGGAAAAAAATGCCATTCCAGACCGCACATATTTGGCACGTTCAAGAATGAACCATCATTTCCATGATGAAATCAGTGGATATCATTTCAGCTTTGGTCAGATGAGGCCTCAAACTTGCAGACCATGCACCAAATGTTTATTAGTGTTTAGAAGGTCAGATAGATACTGACTGTGGCCCAGTGCTTTAAAGAGTTCAGTTGTCTTGATCCAAGCAAGCAATAGGCAACAATGCCTAAGTTTCAGACTCTGGGGTTTTCAGAAATCCATGTGTTCCCAACTCCCAGGGACAACAAGGAGCCTGGAAGTTTTAAAAATCTGAAGTAGGTACTGATCTGTATCCAAGGGTGTCATGGGTTTGAATACAGCTAGTGAAATGCTGCTGAAGTCACTAGGGGTGCACTGCTGTAAAGCCCAATACAACAGAACAAGTATCCAGCTCGATATATTTAGTGTTGATAAAGTTAATAATGCCAATGTCAACAGAGTCCAGAGCAGGACTGGCCCCTGGCCTCTCAGATTTGCCTCAGTAGATCACACCTTAGCCCTATTATTTTCATTAAGTTTTCTTAACCTTGTAATCTTCCTGGGTATCATCACGATGAAGTTCACCTCCTCAAACCCAAACATATCCCTATTTAAGGATTGGGATTGGGAGAAAGAATACCATGCTGAAATGGTATCCATTGAAATGGGGCACTGTTCACAAAAGGCCTGCCAGGTTCCCATCAGAAGAGTTAGATGAAGAGTGGGGAACTGGAAACACTGGCTGCAGCCAAATTTCTTTTTTTTTTCTTTGTTAATCTACTTTGTCTAAATAATATGAACATTTGGTGCATTTAGCTCTAAATATGTCAAATTCTCCTTTAGGGAAGAACTTCTAAAACCTAAAATCATCTCTTAAGATCAAATTCATTTCCTGAGCTCAAAATTATTCTTCTCTACACAAATAAACAACACACACACACACACTCATACTTGCATGCTTTGTCTGCACTGCAGGAATTGTCCTGGGATAGCACTGTGCTGTTTGTAGAGCCCTGCTAAAATGCCTGGCTTTCTGATACTGAGAGAGTGCTGCAAATATTAACACATCATTGTGGGCGGGGGAAGTAAGAATGATTATCCCAGAATGTAACAAATCTAAAAATAAATTGGCTTCATTTTCACCTATTGCACACCAATGGGGGTAAAACAACTTTAATTAGTGTTACAGGACAATAGGAATGGAATTGGCTCCGTCACAAGATTTTTGCAGGATGACACTGATGGTATTACTATCCAACTTCAAAGATTTGGAAAGATGTGGCTGCTAAGACTGGAGAATAGAAACCTGTTTTTCATCAACTAGGCTGGCCTGACAAATTAAGTCTGTGGAGTCATTAGATTAAGATAAGAGCTTATCTCCTAGACTGACATTTATTCAGAGGTTTTTATGCTGCTCAGCTAGTAATTAGTGCAGTTGAATTTTTAACACTGCTTTGTCCAGTTGTTTGACAAATTTGAAATATATACAGTTTTGATTTAAAAAATAACTAAGAATACAAGATTATTAGCTTGGAAAGGTTTTAATTTCTGGAAGAGTTGAGATGATACTAAAAATCTTCAAGGAGGTCAGAAGTGCTTCTGCTGTTGATTCATTTCCATACACAGATTGAGAGGCTCCTTAAACTAAATTTTTAGGCCCTAAGCAGCAGATATCTCTAGCAAATCTGTAATTTCTTTCATGCCCATCCATTTTGTAATTCTGCTGCTTTAGAGGGGCAGGAACATGATGCAGGCTGTGCTCCTGCTCATTAAAACTTTTCTGCCTCCTTCAGCACTCAGGTTAGGGTTTCGGGTAGGGGCAGTTTCATATGGTTGGTTTCATGGGATAAAGTTTATTTTTCCTGTCCTAATTTTCTTGTAATTTTCTTTTCTTCTTACTAAGGATTGTTCCAGAGCAAACCAATGCATTACTTTTGGATACATGTTTTAACATTGCTTTAGTCAAACAAGTCTCACTTTTTTTTTTTTTTTTAAACAGCTCATTTTGAGTAACTGAAGGTCAGCATTGGATTAATAATTAGTGATTAAATGGATGGCTGTTTATGAACTCTGATAGGTTTGCTACAGCAACATCCTGTTATTGCTGTTACAGCATTTGTTTTGTCCAAAGTGCAGACATTTCAGCATCTATGGTTGCTTCCTTTAGAAAAACACAGGCAAGAGAAGTTCGTGGTATTAGAGTATAGTTCATCCAATTGATTGTTCCTGTGAACCACTTATATCAATCCCCCAAAAACTTCAAGAAGTTTGGCACACAAATTCTTTCCCATATAAATTTTAGCTGTTAATTCTGCCTTTGCTGTCAACCAGGTCAAAAATCCCACATAACTTTCAATGTACAATTCACTTCCTGTCAGAGAGAAATGGAACCTCTTCCTGGACCTTGGGTGAGCTGGAAGGGAAGACCTAATTTCTGATGCCTCTAGGGAGGAGCATGGCCTGAACAGAGGGACGAGGAGGGATTTAAATTCAAGCTTCCCAGAATTTGTGGCAGCAGCATCCCTGTTTTCCTAGGTTGTTTTACTTTCGTGTGATGTGCATTGCTCCGCTGTAGATTGCTACAGAAGCTGGAGAGCATCAGCACTACCCAGGCAAACTTCAGGCTGTTAGATAAAAGGGGAAAAGTTGCCATCATCCAGACACACAGACAGAGAACCAAAGAAAGGCCACACCTTTGGGACAAAACTCCAGCTAATACGAAACTGTTAACATCTCCTTTTGATGGGCTGGAGATTACAGCATAGAGGTGTCTTGATGTTGTCTGTCACAGCTGCCCATCAACAGTGCTGGCTCATGGGGCAGTTCCCTGGCCCCACCTGACCTTTGCCTTGTGCCAACAATTTAAAGACACACAGAATAAATTAATACTCTTGGTTTTGGCCTAAGTGTCTAGAGTCTGAGACCTTTGCTGGACCAACACATGAGGCCAAGGACTGACAGAAGCACTAGCAAAAGAGAAGTCCAAATAGGTCAAGGGAAGGGGCATTGCATATAAACTCTGTTACTACATGGAGAATTTTGTTCAACTCCTGATGGCAGAAAAGACAACCTGGACTGGCAGGTAAATCTCCCTGAAAATAGCAGAAATAGAGGTTAGAGCAACATATTTATCTCAGGTTACTTGGTACATAGGTAGATACTGCAAAAAGAGAGTTGGAGATTTAACAGCACGAAGGTGTCATTGAATGGCAATAACAGTACAATCACACTTTACTCTGCCTTCCATTTTCAGTGTCCCACTCTCAGGTGGATGGTTGCTCTTCAGCATTTGGCCAAGGTCAGACAGGTGAGAGAGAATTTTTTTGCAAGTTTCTGGTATTCCTAGTAGATTTTTAAAATGACAGAAAAGGGCAATAACTTTTTTTAACTGGCAAATATGTTTTCAGTGTCACCAGAAAATGGTACCTGTCAACTCAGACATTACTCTGATTTTTTTTATAGCCTTTGACTTCTAAATTTGGTGTAAGAGGTACCCATGTCCCAGAAAAATTTGCTTGCCCTTTTTAACTGGATTCCATAGGCTGAAATTTATCCATGGTAAATGTTTCATAGTACAGTAAATTATGCAGCAGGTTCCATATAAACATCCTTTACTCACAGAAATGAAGGTAGCACAAGTGCATGGTGTAGCCATCCAGCTGTTTGTGTTTCCCCCAGGCATTCAACACTTCTCACAAATAACTACACTTTGCACTTCTGTAACCCACATCCAGAGATCCCACAGGGCAACGGCAACGGTAGGGTAAACACCTCTATTTCTATTTTATAGAAACTTAGCACTTCTGAAATGCAAGCTCAAGGCAGGTTGTGAGGAACATCTAAAACTTGGAGAAGTCTTTCTGGAAAGCCAATGGAAATTATTTGCTCCAATATTAGTAGTAGGTCAAGTGGTCAGCAGTCAGAGCAGCTATTGGAAGGTTGTTCCCTCACACCACATGAAAGTGCCCTCCAACAGCCCCAGCTTGTCCCCATTTTGTTTTTCTGTTGTACAGTATTCATTAAACCCTTTGCTGTGACATGCCAACGCCAGTGTGCCAAATCCTGAGCAAATCACATCCTCTGTTCTTCTGTAGCAGATTTGTGAGATAATCTATTATAGATTAATCATTTCAGTCTTATGGTGCAATGTAAAAAATAAATTGGGGTTATGAAGCTGGAGGGGAGCCACTTAGGGGGGGCAGTGTGTTCTCATGGACGCTCTGTATTTGACTTTGAAAACAGTGTCACAGTGAGATTTTTGAAGGTAAAAATGTTGTGGAATAAATTTTCATGTCCACAAGTATCAGCTCAATGTTGAACTCTAGATGATTTCCAGGTAATTTCCTTCCTTCTTCTCACCATATGAAACATATCTGGGCTGATCCATTATATCTCTTCAGAATAATAGATGGTAGAAAAATAAATAAAATAAAATAAAAGCCCTTTTAAAGACTGCATATCTGCTGGAGATGGAGGTATCCAACCCA